CATAGCGTGCTATTTTGGTCTTTTTATTATAGTGTTATTATACTTTTAACAATTGCCTTTCAATATCTTAGCAAACCCTGTATATATTTTCATGTATTTTTTTTTTTTTTACAATTGCACTGATTGCTGTTTACTACTTTTAGCTCCTTTACACTTTATGTGTTTTTGATAATGTGAGTCCACCAGCTTGGGATGCCCTTCCTGTAATTCTGATGTGGCAAAACCTACTTGCCCAACATTGTCTCTTCCAGATTGTCATCTGTCCATGTCTAGCCCTCATCCATTGTGGACAAACAATTTCATTTTCATGCATCAAGTATTATCTTGCATAGTAAATATCTGTTTACTTGCGTGACTTTAATTTTTTATTGTAACTTCTTGCTTTCAAAGGACAATCCCTGCTTTGCCCTGAGACCTGGTGCCTAAATGAGTCTCACAAATTTTTAACATATCCATCAGTATTTCACACCCAAATAAGCACGCTTTTTGTTTTGTAATAATAAATAAATGTGTAGCACCAGCAAGGCGTAGAACAGGTTTTTTATGATCTGGGCAGACTTGTAGAGGAGGAGTCCTGGAGACCTCAGTGGCTTTTTTCAGACTTTTAATGATCTTTCTGCTCCATTTGAAGTGAGGCAACTAGGTGCAGGATATGCAGGGGCCTGGGTAGCCTCTTAGCCCCTGGCAAATCTCTACTCTTTCTGGGCTGTATGGCATTGTCTCCTGGTATCCACTGCACTCTGCTGCCCATACATCAGATCTCTCATCTTTGCTGCTGTTGCCACCCTTCTATGCTCAGCCTCTAGGCTCAGGGGTGCCCACTTATACATGCCCACACCACACTCTAGGTGATGCCATTGGGCGCACATGTAAAATCACAGGTGTCCATCATTAATGCTAATGGTGGGCAGGCAGAAAAAAAGCTGACCACTTCCACCTGCTCTACAAAATGCTATGATGCTTTTGAGAGGTTCACTATGTAAATTTTATAAATTTTAGAGATTCATATGATGTTGTTGATATAAGTTAACTCTAATTAATTGAATGTCTTCCAAACTATAAAATCATTCAATATCTTAAATTTGCTAACATGAAACCACAAAGCTAAAATGGTTAAATAAAATACAACATATTTAAAACAAAAACAAAAACAGAAACTGTATTTATCTATCCACCTTGGAAAATCTGCACTGGGAGCAAAATTTTAAATTTGCAAAATATATTTATTTTAAGATTTATTTATTTGTGCATAAAGAACTGGGGTACACACCAGAGGTGCAGGGGAGGTGAGAGGCTTCACCAGAGACAGAGTGGGGAGCAGAGCAGGCAGATCCATGAAGTACACTGCTGAGGGAAGCAACAGGTGGGCCAGGAGAGGTCTGCTGTGCCATGTGGGTCCTCTCTGGTTTGGGGATCGAATTCATGCTGAATTG